GGGGTTCCTGACGACTTGATTGGGAAGAATTGTAACTACCTCGACAAGTATATGTTGATGGTGACGGCATTTGGCATCTTTTCACTCGACACCAAGGAGATACTTGACTGTACCCTGACCTTGGCTGCGGATGAGCTCTAGCAGCGCATGTAATAGTTGCCGAGTTGCTGCATCTGGAGCACGTGCTTGATTCAATGACTCGTCTGTTCCGGGCACCACCCTGGCCTGGCTACAGCACATTGTGTTTGTTTGCAACATAGACGTAGGGGGTCGATGGGCAATGCAATTTTTCTCTCTACCCAACAAAAACCCACTGGTGGCGTCGATGACTTTCCGGATGGCGTCTGCCTTCCACATGGAGCACCGAGAAAGCTCCCACCGTGAAATCACCTGGGCGGCGAGAAATTGAGTTTAGAAAAGCACCGCAGGTGGTGTCATTGGAGAGTGTTGCGCGCTTGGCATGCTCGTGGGGAGGGAGTTTTGGCTAAGAGCGGTGCTAGCAGCGCCGAGGCTTGCGCGTATGATGTCTGGTGTTTTGCAGTGGGAAGGTCATGCTAGTCGGATACGGGGACCGCTGAGGTTTACTGGGTCTGGTGGGTGACGGGTTTGTGGATCGAGTCGTTTTGTGGTGATGATGTTGGCGTGTCGACGCGAGTTTTTTCCAGCCAGCAGCGGCGTGGACTGTCATCAACTGGTCGCGACATGGAGCACTTGCGAGTTGGATTCCAAAGATTGTCTGGACGCTCAATGTTTGACGGGAGGCGCAAGGCGGCACTGAGGATGTGCCGATCGGGGCAATGCCAACCCGCAGCACACAGCGCGGGCAAGACCGTCTCGACTGGTCCATGTCGAAACCAGCTTGACATTGAAGGATTGAAGGCTGCGCTGCCAAACTGCCGGGGGCGGAGCACTGGAGTCAAGATTGGCAGTGGGGCGAACGGCATGCATACCAGGAACAAACTGGTCTACGGAGTGTCCCGTACCATCAATCCCCTTCCATTGGAAAACCCGGCTTTGTTTGTCAAGCCCTGTAGTAATCTGCGGTCCGTGTCCGAGTTGGATGGATGATTCTTGGGCAACTTGTTTGTCTTCGCCCCGGCCGAGCCTTCTCTCTTTGACGACTTGCCGTTCTCTCCCGTGCTAATCCACGACTCCAAAGCCTCGAGCTATTCTCAGCAGTCTCTTTGCCGGATGACTGCATTCAATTGATTCCTGATGCCGTCCAATTCCAAGTAAAGACGGCAGCTCCCACGAGAGCATTTGTTCTGAACCGGCGCCTGGAGCCAGCCAAAACCGCCTTGGGGGGAGCATCGACGGACACGTCGGGATTTTGAATTTCGCATCAGCCTGGACCTGGATTGCGCACTGCTTGGCCCATTGCTCTCGCTCATCCATCTGGGAGCAACCTAGTTGCTGCGGCATATGTACCGTTATTTTCAAAGAGGCGGACCTCACCACCGTGCTTGAAACCGGCACCCTTTGGCCGAAAGCAACATCATCGAGATCTTGCTGGCAAAGGTCCATGATTAGCTTTGAACGCCAAATCCTCGAAATCTCTCCCAACACCACAATCCGTGCCCGGCACAACTGGGCTCTGTTCAGCTACCTTGGCTTTCAAATCTTGCAATCATGAGCAGCACATGGCATAATCCCACAGAACCTCAAGAAAGCCCCGACCATCCGTCGCAGTCTATACCAAACGCCGCCTATCCTGATACTCCGTATCAGCCGGGGAGTGGATTCCATGGAGATGCCAGCACACCGGCATCGACAGGCCTCGCAACTTCTGTAGCCGGAAACAATACCACATCCCATTCGGCATCATCAACGGCCTCTCCAAACCAATCGGCTGCCAACACTGGGCCGTCGTCGTGGCACCAAGCTGCAGCGCTGTCCACTTCTATCCCAGACAGCCCGCCGCCGCCCTATGTTCGTGACGAACATTCAAGACCTTACATTACGGCACAGACACGGCCGGCATCCCACTGGACCGGCACGCCGAGCAACCGGCGGAATGAACAACCAGAGTCTGTCCCATTGCAAAGCCTATCACTCGCATCATCATCCCAGTGCTGCCGGGCACCGGCAGCAGCATCCATAACACAACACGACCAACTGCCGTCGGCTTGTACAACTGGAAGTGGTAGCATCACTGCATCGACGCGAACCGTAAAACTTGGCTCGGTGGCGGAGGCACGGCGGCGGCGAAGACGACGTGTTACGATTTGCCTCGTCCTCTTGGCTGCCGTCATCGTCTTCGTGCTGGCCCTGATCATAGGAATAGCTCTAGGGGTCATTAGAAACACGGCACGGAACGATAGGAATAACGGCCCGGTCGTGAAATAGGCGCTTGTGTATGGAGTGTCGGTGGCATTTGAAACCACCGGACCGCGGGCCATGCAGTCATATGTCATTAATGGATCGACTGGCAGAGCTCTGCAGTGACCTAGCCTCGCCACGCCATCATTGCACTGCATTCTAGGTTTCGGAGTTGGTTGTTTCCTGCATTCATCTGTTGTTGGGGCTAGGGCCAGGGCCTTGAGACATGAATGCTCGCTAATGATAGAAATCACGCTTGTATACATAAGGTGGCCGGCGCAAAATTGGGACTACTTGGGACAGCGAATTGGGATCGCGTGTATATTGCACTGAGCATAGCTATCATGTACTTGCAGCGTTCGAATCAAGTTTGCCATATTATTGATTCAAAGGTAACAAAGGCTTAATCGTGAGCCCAAGGACTTTTGCCCAATCCAATATTCTTGGCTTCTGGGCTTCTCGCTCCCGCAGGGAAGGTGCGCTTTCTCAGCCGCGCTACGTGGAAGTCGCGACCTGTACCAGCAATTGTCCCTGCATCTGCCTTCACCCGCATTGGGGTCGTTTGACTGTAGACGACACCTGATCTCCTTTTGTGTAACGCGACTCTCTGACTGATCAGCAAGCATCCGCGTCTTCACCGGTCTATGACCAAAGCATTTTCAACCCAACATCACATGGCAGACAGGATGAACATCAAATTCATGATGCCGTGATGACGTTGGAGAGTGAGGACCCTCGCATTGGCTGTCCACGTGCCCTTCCCCTGCATTCACTGACCGGGCACTAGGGGAGAAGGCGGCTGCGGCTGGGGCATCATCCACCCTTTGCCCAACATTTGAAGTTTTGGCGCAAAGCAACAACGGACTTGGCGTCTGATGTCCCCGGGATCGGTATCGCCGGCTCCGAATGGTGTTTTCCCCGTTCCCAGTGGCAAGCCTACATGTCATCCGCGGCGTTTGCTTGGTTTCTTCTTGCGAGCTCCCTTCGACATACCATGGCACCAGACACGTTGCCTGCACACTCTGGTGACAATGTCAACTGCCGAGATGTGTGGGCTATGAGACTGTCACGGCTATTCTGGGAAGAGGGAGACCTGTACGGAGCAACTACATATCACTTCTTCCTTGTTTTGCTTCAACTGACGGAGTAGATTTATCGACCTCGCGTCAGCTGCCTCTGGAAATTCCATTGGATTTGTCCGGGGGAAACCAAGCGCCGTGATATATGGTTATGGTAGCGGCCCCTTGGATCGCTGAAGAGCATACATTGTAGGGTCAGTGTTGCAACGACTTACGTTGCCTGAGTTGACCCACCGTGGCGCCATCGCAAGAGTCAACTGAGGTGTGGTAGTCAGACGCCAGTGTATTCATGATGCGGGCCTCAAATTCAATTCCCAATCTTGCAATATAAGAGACTAACAAGTTTATACCGCAAGGGCAGCGCCCCATTGCCCAATGTCTTGTGGACGAGGAATCCTTGAGTCATAACATCCATCGTATTTTCAAGCTGGAAAAGAGTGCATTGCTAGCGAGTACTGCGCGAGGGTTGGAATGGTGGCATTGCATGGTGGGTTTATTCGTCCCCTCCTTAGAATTATCCGGCCAGGGATTTTGTGGCTGAGGCGTTGACATTTATCCAAAAGGAGGTTGCTGATGCCCAGGATTGACGGCGCCACCGGCACAGGCGCCAGTGTTTCTGGAAGTTGAGACCCTCGTAGAGATTGATTGTAGGGCATCAATCAACGCAGAAGCAAGCGGCTCCGGGCATCGTCGAAGCGTGGTATTGGCGACGAACTTCGGTCCCGTGGGATAACAACGACGAGTTGACCAGAGAAAACTGCAGCTGGGACAGCGCCGCATGGCCCAATAATTTACCGTGTTTGGGTCCAGGAATAAGGCGCCGTACTTGATTATCCCGTCGGTGCTTGCCTACTTAAGTACACGAGGCATCCATATGCAGCTACTTCACCCGGCAGCATGGATAGCAGGGGCTTGCCAGCAGCTTCTGTTGTGTAATACCAGCAACGCTTGGGCTTCGCGGCGAATATTTACGAGGATGCCTGTGGTATTGGCCGACGCACCAGCTTCGGATGGCCCGACATTCGACTGACAAGGAGGGCAGCTCGCAGAATATTAAAGTACACAACTGACAACACACCATTCTGACTAAGGCTGCGCTTCGTACTCGTTCGTCAAAGCCGCTGCTGCGCAGTACAATATTACGGAATCGATTTTTTTTCCCACTCTCCCTGCCCTGCCTTGACAAGGTTTCGATGACAAGTTGTACTTTGGGTTGTCTCTCCTTCCGTCCCGTCTTTACCCTTCGCATGGACCAGGTCTGCATCAACCAAACATCCCCACCTTCTGGTTAGGGGCTGGCATGGCACGAATTTTTAGGTTATGGAGTGTTGTATTCTGTACAATACAAGACTTGGAGAGGACATGGCACGTCCACAGTTTGCCAGATGTCGGTCCAGGTTGACTGAAAGTTGCTTCTGAGGCCCTATCTGGTCATCGGGCGACTTATTTATGACGGTTTGGCGCTTCATGTGGGCGCTTGGGCCCCGCCTTCCGGAGCCTCCCCCGGCTGAGACTTGTAAGAAGCAACTAAATAATCATTATTTCCGCCCAGGGCATGTGTCGTAAGGTTACTGGGTTCAATTTGCGCCTTTTTGAATCAAAATGGGTGACGTGCCTTCAATCTTTGGTGGCATTGGTTTGGGGCTCTCTTCCCTCGGACCGCGTATGGAGTATGTACACCACAAGAAAGCCATACGAGAGATAACTTACCGACGCTGTCGACAAGTCAGTTGTGCTCTGAAGAGACGCAACCCATTTCCTCTCTCCTCCCCCTTTCAGGACATGGCGCCCCCCACCGCGGCTCCATCGTTGTTGGCCTCTCCGTGCCGCCCTTGTTGTCGGGAGAGATTGGGTTCAGCATTCTGCGTTGTATGCCACTCTACGGAGCAGGCCTGAGCAGTATAACTATGTTGGCCACGCCAGCGAGAACAGACGCCTCTGCCTTGAGGTATTGACTCGTTGCGACATCGACTCAAGCCGCTCCCACATAGCCGCCTCTTGGCACTCCAGGAAACACGGCATTGCCACTCGTCAGGGACACGGACTACAGACTCACCGAAGCATACACAAGCCTTCTCGGGCGCTCACACCAGGAAGCCGTACCGGTCCTGGACTGGCTTGTTCACAAGACAAGGGCAGGAAGACACGACTCAAACGTTGTCTTTCGTTTCCTTGCCCCCACCCGCCACTTGAAAGGCGATCCAGATCTTCAGTCCCTCACAGGCCTAGCACATCCCAGCAGACCCTAGCAATAACTCTCTGCGCCTCCAGTGTCCTCATAGTCCCGCAACCCCCCAGCCGTCTGTAGTTCTTATGCCCCCTTCACCGCCCTCGGATACCACCAAAAACATACACAGAGCTTGCCTGAGCAATTGCCTGTCTGCCTAGCCGAGCTCCTCATTGTCTCCAAGGGAGGACGCGGTCTTGCGCCTGTGTCGTTGCAAGACAACTCCAGCCGGCCTTACGATTGGGTTCTGACAACCGCGACCCGCTACCGAGGCTTTTGCAGCCCTTGCGGCGCGCATGATCGGATCATCCAGGCTTGCTACCAATTCATTGCCGCGCAGCTCTGCGCTTCCGCACATTGAGCCAATTCCAACAATCCAGATTTGATTTTGAGGATGGCACCGCGGTATCAGTATTCAGCCAGGTATTTTTTGATATATCAATTGGTTTTTCCTGCAAAGGCTCACTCAAGCTTGAGTCATCCAACTAACTAGCCTCTCTGGTGTAGTCGCGAATTACACGTTGTGGTTCTTGGAGCCGGTTCGTTCATTCCCAGTATCCCTCAACCGCATGAATCTTCTCCTAACTAACTTTGATTCGTTTCTCCAGGGGGCGTGGGCAAGAGTTGTTTGACCGGTGAGCATCCCCTGGTTAGGACATTGAAACAGTTGAACTTTGTATCCTCATGCTTTTTGCTAGCACAATTCGTTCATAACGAGTGGATTGAGAGTTATGACCCGACTATAGAAGATTCATATCGAACGCAGATTCAAGTAGACGTGAGTTGTGTCATGTGCACGGAAACATTTATTTCGCGGCTGACTTGTGAAACCAGGGCCGTCAAGTCGTATTAGAAATGTGAGTATTTTCGCATTTATAGACTGCAGACCCAAAGCTGATTGCTGACTGATATACTACAGTCTTGATACTGCAGGGACTGAGCAATTTGGTACGTTGACGTGCGTTGCTCTAAATGATTCGTACTGACGCGGACAAGTTGCCATGAGAGACTTATATATGAAGACCGGCCAAGGGTTCCTTCTTGTATTCAGTATAACGTCCCCGTCGTCACTAAGCGAATTAGCTGGACTACGTGAGGAAATCATTCGCATCAAAGACGATGAGAATGTACCGATGGTCATAGTCGGCAACAAGGCCGACCTCGAAGAGAACCGTGCTGTGCAGAGAGCCAAGGGGTTTTCGATATCACAACGATGGGGCGCGCCCTACTATGAGTCTAGCGCCAGAACGAGAAGTGAGAACACACTCGCCGCCTCGCTCAACCCTCTGTCATGCTAACAGAGCCTACAGCCAATGTCGACGAAGTGTTTATTGATTTATGTCGCCAAATGTTGCGGAAAGACGACGATTACCTAGGGACCACTGAGACTGACGACAGTGGGTTCAAATTCGATGCCTTCCGTGGCGGGCACAAGCGCAGACGACGGATGAGAATTCGAGAAAAGGACCATCCTAGATGTGCAATTCTGTAAGGCTGTTGGGCCTGCCTGCATTATTATTGTTATTTTATATTTTTTTTTCCAAGAGTGGGAGGAAATCCCGCACGGAACTCATTGATCACACGGAGGTCGAGTGGAGAGAGAGAATGGCACTATTTGACGGGATATGACAAATCGCATTTATTCTTTCAAGAGCATTTCGCCATCAAAAGCATGACATGGTTATGGGGTCAGGGTCTCGCAGTCCCCCCCCCGGGGGGCGGTCACGACTTCCATTTGACTCTGCAATATCGACGATGAAGCAGCTCCTGTCGCACAACTTACTGGGGGAAACACTATCATGGTTAGGTAGGATCTGCGACTTTACCAGCACAAGAACTCGAATGATATCCGGGAGAAAATCTGGTAATGTTTGGTGGGAGCTGGGAGGAGACAGTGGTTGATTGTCCGATGAGAAGATGAAGAAAAGAAAACATGGATACGGAGTAGACGGCGTTTCTAGACGGGGTTCCCATTTGTTTGCTTCTTTTTCTTTTTTTTCAACCATGTCATATCTACATATCTTCACGTGTCAGGTTAGGAAATACTCAGTTGGGCCCGAGATTTGGTACATGACCAACTTGACTGGGCCTTTTTTTTTTTTTCAAGGTATTCACTTTTGCCGACTGTCTGTATGTGAATAAAGACATTTGGCTTTACAACCGCTGGGTTACGAGGAGACGGACAAAGCAATACCGCCCATCCAGCTTTCTATACTGCGAGCATGTCCATACAAATGGTGGTTGCAGACATGTGTCCAAGACCAGGCGAGACAAGAGTATTGAAACCCAAGTGCCAAACCTAGGATTCGCAGTGTTTCTTCTGTGAACGCTCTGCCTAGTGTTTTTCTTCTTCTTCTCTTCTCGATTCAACTCATCGTCTCAGCGTCCGAATATCTTGAGAATAATGTCTAGAAAAAAGGCAAACAACCCACGAAGCTGAGTAACTCTGTTCATCATATGAATATAGCGAAAAGTAAAGGCATCAACTTCGTTGAAGTCGTGGGCGTAGATTTCCCACGCCGCCCGGCCCCTTCCGTCACCTTCGTGTTCCGCGACGGGAATTTCTCCCTCTGGCGCGTCCTTCAACGGCGGGCCAACGGCTAATGAGCGCCCCGAAATGGATTCGTCTGCCACGAGACGAGTAGCCGCCTCGACTACGTCCGGGATGGTCGCGCCGCCAGCGGTGCCTGCGAGAAAAGCAATGTCCGCTAGTAGGGGCAGCATGCGGCTCTGCTGGACAAAGTACGGCGCCAGCATGTTGACGCGCAACTTGCCGCTCTGCATGAAGGAGGTCATGCGTAGGGAGCGGAAGAGCCCGCACACGGCGTGCTTGGACATGGTGTAGTGCGTCTGGCCGGCCAGCGGGGCGATGGAGGCGATTGAACCGACGAGAAGGAGGCATTTCGTGGTGCTTGTGTCCTGGGAGAAGTGGTGGAGGGCGAGGTGGGTGGTGTATATGACGCCGGTGATGTTGACGTCTATGGTTGCGGTGGAGGGCCTGGGAAGCTTGCCGTTGACGAGGGACGGGTTCTCAAAGTTGTAGCCCTCGGGGGCCTGGATTATGCCGGCATTGGGGACGACAATGTCGATCCTGTGGTCGGGGGAGAGGCGGATGGCAGCTTCGAAGAGGGATGTTTGGTCGTCCCAGCTTGCTACGTTGCAAGGGACGTAGGCGAATGTGCTTGACGGGTGGAGGGTGCGCAGCTGGGCGACGAGGGATTCGCCCGACGGAGAGTCGATGTCTCCGATGATGATGTGTGCGCCGTATGAGGCCCAGCGGCGGACCATGTGCGATCCGAGGCCGTTGGCGCCGCCGGTAATGACGATGGTTTTGTCACGGAGCGTGGATGGGTCGTAGCGTTTGGTGAGGTCGATGGGGGGAGATTGCTGGATTGTTTTGGCGATGGACCATGGTGATTCTGTCGACATGTTGATGAATAATTTTTTTTTTGTGCGTGAATGGGGAACCCGGGGGGGGAGGGGGGAAGCGGTATCATGCACCTTGGTACTCGGCAATGCCAGCCAGACCTCTAAATGTATTGTATTTTTTGTATTTTTTACTATACTGTATTGTAATGTATTGTATTGTAATATATTACAATACATTACAAGATAAGAATACCTATAAATGTATTATAAGGCTATAAAATATCTAATAATAGAAATAAATGATTACATAAGCATATTATATATTAAAATAAAGCTAAAAATCACGTGATTTTAGATCTTTAAAAATTAACCTTAAAATGTGGATATTAAGCGAGATATTAAGCTTTAAAGTTATGTCTTAAAATAAAAAGTAAGTAAAGTAGGGCGAATTTTCAATTGCTCATAACTTTTTAAGATAATAACTTATAGTAATAAAAAGTGGGGCATTTTAAAGAGCTAATTTAGCTCTTTTAAATAATATAAAATTTTTCCTTAAAACCCTTATAATTAGCCTTATAATCTTAAGTTTAAAGAAACAGGGGTTTTTTTTACTTATAATACATTTATAGGTATTTTAGTTATGTAATGTATTGTATTTAAATACAATACACGAAAATACAATACAATACAAAATATAATACATAATACACTTGTATTTACTATATTCGTAAGAGCTCTGATGCCAGCCAACATGGTGGGTTTGCTCGTGGTGTTGTAATAGATGGAGCTTCTCGAGTGCGTCGAGCTGTTGTGGGTCAATATTGTTGCTCTCCCGCTCCCGCATGACTAGGACCCACATGCTTCGAGCTGCGTCAGAACAACACCACACCATCACCAACCAAGGGATGGCCAAACCATTCCTGCAAACGGGAGCAGGGCAGTGACATAATGTAATGTAACAAATCGCCCAAACCCCATCATATATCGACTTTCCTTTGTAATGTATCATGCCACACATTGCACCACGTCGGCAAAATACTATGCATGTGCTCACACGCTTTTGACACACCAACTCGGAGCATCGATTGGCCCCGTGCACGTAGCCGTACATAACAAAGGTGCTGAGACGATCATGTTGGAACCAACTCGTCGATTTTTGATGCTGTGGTACGGAAAGCGAACACACTGACATCTAGAAGAAGAAGTTACTGAGAGTTTTTCATGGTCCGTTTGACGGAAAATAGCCCGGAATCTTCCGTGCAACCCTAGCAGCCTCAGCCTCTGACATATCGTGGCGCCAGATTGTTCTTTGCAGGCACCTGCAGGGTCAGCAACAAGACACCGACGACAGGTACAATAGTATATGTATGTGCCGCTAGACCATGGGGTCTGTCCCCCACAATGTTAGTTCATCGGTTCATACGGATTGCGTGTTGGCAAATGATGATACCCACCTGGTGATGCTACTACAGGTCCCTGTGTGTCATCAATCCCTGGGCGTATTATGCAGTTTATGCCCGTGTGCAGCTTTCAGATGCACGGAATCGCGAAGATACACCACCTGCATGTTTTTTTTACGTCCAACCTCACCATCCCTGGCAGTCATTGGATCAAGACAGTTGTCGTACATGCGTTCTTGAAGTCTGACGTAACGGCCTGGTATGCATTCTCCAAAGTGCAGGTTTTAGAGACACGGGCAATACGAAAGAGAGCTTAGGCTCAAAGCCCTGCCGTTGTGACTCGTTCCTGGTCAGATGAGACTGAAACTTTGACGTGGTAATGCAGTCGCCTTGGTATCGAGATCTGTTCTTTCTGATGGACGCCAAGCTTTGGCTAATGCCCAAGTACCTACGTTAGTGGCAATTTCCACGCCCCAGCCCAAGAACCCATGTCTCAAGGGGGTGTGGCCGGCCGTCTTTGCTTCGTAGACCCGTCAGTCTTTAGTCTGCGACATCAACGAAGCCCCAGACTGCGGGAAACATTTGCCATTCAATCATGATCTGGACATGACCGTGGAATGGCTCCAACGAGCATGTCATTCCACACTTCGCCAGAATTCGGACCCTGGCCAAAATATCAAACATGTGCAGAGAAGAATCTTGGCCCCTCCCTTTGGCCTCGGAACTTGCTCCGGCGCCTGTTTAGCCAGACGGCATGTGCGAACCACGACCGACGAACCACATGACATTTCACGACGCACTTGAGTACATCTTGACGAGTCTTGAACCATTACAAACATGTGTTCTGAACAATCCGCAAACGCCGAGGTTGATCCAGAAGCCACGACAAATGGTTAGTCTCGACAATCAGGCAGGACCATTTTCGTGGCATCAGCAAACAGCTAACTTTAGAGGCTTGCTTATCTAAAAACCGCAACATCTAGTTGATTTGGCTTGTGGCTTGTGAGCACGGTGCAATGTACCAAAATTCGTCCACAGTAGCGCGAGTGCCTGTCGGCCAATAGCAGCAGGCCCATTCGATAGAGTGGTAACTACTACTCCGTACTCGACTGCGTGTGGACCAGCGAGATGATCGTACTTGGCGTATCTCTCCCAAAGACAACTTACGGGTACAAGCAAAGCCCCCAAACCTCGTGGCCGATGCGTAGCACCTCTCCATCTGTAGGAAAGTATGCTAAGGCTTTGAGTAAGTATCTTTCAAGGACTCGAGTTAATACATACCTAGTAAGTAGATACTCAGCCCTAATCGGTACGCTATGAGTATCAGCAACTCGACCCGGGGAGGGGTTTCAGAATCTCTCCAGTCTCCAGGACCCTTTGGAGAGAGGTACATTCACCAATCAAATCCAAGGGTGAGGGTGTCCTCGACATCTGTATGCAATATAGTAGAGTGACGGGGTTATGCAACAGAGGGCCGAATCCGGATTGATTCAGTAGATTATGTTCGCTGCGATGAGTGTGCATCGCAGTGTTGCTGTGGCTATTAGAAAGTTTACCGAAAAGTGAAATGACAGAAATCCCCAACCAAACGGACGCAAAACTTTCTGATATCCCGCGAGAATCAAGTTGGCGCCTTGATCTTAATCCGTTTCCTGTCTTGTCAAGAAATGCTGCAGGCGGCCCTGCTTGGGGGCTGGGCGGCGGGCGGGGCGGACAACAAGGC